GTGGGGTTGTTTGGTTTGTTTGTTTGTTTGTTTGTTTTTTTACAGAAGCACTCACTTATGAGAACTTCTCATGAGCACAGAGAGTAAGCTGAAGGAGCTTTGACAGAGAGAGATGCACTAAACAAAAGCAAAAGCAAATACAAGGAGGATTGTCTCCTTGTGGAAATGACTAAGTACTGTGAACTTAGAAGTAACAGTAAACAACGCCACCTGCACCTCAAAAGCAATTAAGTTGGGACAGTTATCCACAGCTCTAAACATAACGTCCATTCAGTGTTACCTATCTACATGTCGGCTAACAGTTTGCTTAAAGGCAGCCACAGCTGCCCCCTGGTCCAGCAGAGGCCCTCTTTTGTAAACTGTGTTACTGAATGCATACCCATCAGATGGAGGATAGTCTGGCACACTGGGATGCTGGAAAACAAAACAAAGAAACAAAAAACAGGATAAATGTTACACACATAACAGTAGGTATTTCATTTATTACAGCAGCATCTTCTGACACACATAGGGTCCTCAGGTGTTTGTTGTTTTGATACAAAACATTAAATCGCCCATGCATTTTAAATCATGAACAAAGATGAGAAGAATAAGGATGTAGAAATTCGATCCTTACTCATCCTGCCATATCAATACAGAAGCTGGTACTTTTTAGTAAGACAATTCAGCAATTCACTAGATCAAGGTTCATGCCATTGCTTCAAATGTCTCTTGTAGCAACAGTCTTTTATAATCAACAGTGACCAAATACCTTTAAAAAGCTTCAGTAGGGAAAATGTTTTAAGGTTTTCTTCTGGATGTGGACACTCTAAATCAGATAACCTACAATTACAATGATCTAATGCAAATTCTGTGTATTTGGATACTCAGGAACATTAATCCCTTACTTTGAAAGTGTAAATATTATTCTGAGAGCCTCATTCTCCCCATTCTCCCACTTTGACACTGAGTAGTATCAGAATCAGGGGAGGGAAGGGGTAAGGTAATATTCAGTAAGCACAAGGATAGAAGAGGAGATGTGCCTAGTAAAATACAATTTACTGGGAACTCATATATCATAATACTAGGTGTGTTACCAGGAATTATTACATGCAAACTGTTAAAAGCTACTCATCCTAGGCCTCCTTTCCTCCCACTATCAGCAGAACATAAAGCACTACCATATGATGTTGAAGGACTGGTCGAGTCTAGCAACTTGTGGGCCAGAAGCTACCAAAAACGTAAGCGCTGTTCCAATTCTTATTTGGTCTGTAACCTAGGGGAAACCACTTACCTAACCTATGTCTACGCCTTCCTTAACTGACACAAAAATAACAGGTATGTCTATGCTGACTCTGTCTGTCCACTTGTGATGTTTCTGCTGACAAATAAAGTCCTGTCCAGTTGCTTCTGCTCTGCACATTAACCCCAGAAATAAGGCACCTAGGAAGCACTGGGCAGCTTCCAGCCTCCCTTCAGCATCTGTCTCTGAAAAGCAGGAAAGCAGCAGTGCAGGGGGTGGGGGGCACACCTCAAACATCTTGAGTTTGGAGAGAGCAGAGCAGGAGCTGATTTGTTTGTGGCAGCCCCAGGAGAGAGTGTGCAGACACACTAAATGATACCTTCCTGTCTTGAGGGCAGAAAGGGTTGTGAAGGCAAATCAGAAACCAATTATATAGCATATATAAGGTGCTAAAAAAAACAATGTTCTTAAAACCTCCTAACATGGCATTGAGCACCCTAGACCTTAAAGCATATAAGCAGCAGATAGCCTGGAAACAGTAATTCACTGTACTTTACGCAGAAATATATTCGTATTGCACCGGCTCTCTTGAGCTTCAATCAGTGGTTTCTCCTCCCCATCCCCCATTTCCATTATAGTTTGATATAATTATTGCTGAACAGACTGCACGTGCAGCCCCTGGCATGTAACCATCTTAAAACTCAGGGGTGAGAATTTTTTTCTTGAATTAGTATCTGTGAAGCCCTCCACTAGACATCAGATCAATCCCTTCTTGTGGGGGTTAGGAACTGTAACCATGGTAGCAACAGGCATATCATTATTTCATGCTGGGTCATATTTTTTTCTGAAAAGGATGCCCTGTGGGAAGATGGAATCCAAAAGGGAAGAGGTCTGGGCTTTACTGTGCTGGTACCTGCCTGTTTCTAGATCATGGTGTCAGCAAATGTTGATGAGATTTCACATACAAAAAAGGAGAGCTTAGGCAAAATCTCATTACTAATTTCTCTTAGGTGCAAATGATACAACACAAAGAAACTGAACGCACCGAAGAAAGGAGAATGTGAAGGACATACCAAAAAAAAAAAAAAAAAAAAAGGGTTTTCCTGATCAACCCCCATCTGATTTTCTCTTTAGCTATTATCATGTATAACCTATTTGCATGCTAACTAATTGGTAATTAGGCCAACATTCAGGTATCACCTTCTATACTGTCATCATTTTCATGTAGACGATTAGCATTTTGCATTCACATAGCAGCTTACATTGAAGGACTTAAAGCACGTCACAAAAATATCAAATTTCACAGCCCATCTGAGATGGGTGTCATTGTAGCTATGGTCCCAGTGAGGAAGCCAAAACAGAGTTAATTTAAATGAGTTTCCCAAGACATTTAGAAAAATCAGTGGCAGAATTAGGAATAGAACCTAGGACTGCCAAGTCTCAGAGGTGCAAACTCTTTGGTTAGTTTTTCTTGGCAATTAGCCACACAATTAACAATCAAAATGGCATAATATTAAAAAGGGACTTAAAAACAATCATTGCAACACAAAAGTCACTTCTACCAGAAACAAATATATATACATATATCTATATACACACATATATATACACACACTTACTGTAACTACAAATAATGCCTAAAATGATAAAAGTTTTATTCACAATCTCCAAGAGGAGAAAATAAAAACATCATTTAAAAATGCACAAAAAATTGTGAGGGAGACAGAGAACAATAAGACTTAAACTAGGTTTTTGTTTTTTTAAATACTAGATTTCAAATGACAGTATCCCATGCAATTTAACTCAATGACTAAGGGGAAAAAACACATTAAATAACTTTCTTTGTCAGCATATTTGTCCTTTGATGCCTTGTTAGGTATTGGGACAAAAAGTCAAGTAATATACAACATAAAGGATAATTTCTTCATTCAGGATATTGTCTTCATTCAGGATACCTCACTTGCAGGATATTAAGATGAATGAATGAAGATATTTTCTTGGGAATTCTTCACTCAGGATACCTCCTTTCCCTGAGTCTCCCCCATTTCAGGTGACTGCCCCAATGACTAAGCTATTGCCTATTCCACAATGGCTCTATTTTTATTTTCTACAAAAAAAAAAAATCATTCCAGTTGGTTTCACACTAGTGTGGAACAGGAACATTTTTTGACGATTGAAAAATGTCAAGGGATAGGAAAACTGCTTCCTCCATATCTCTATTAATTTCTCTGCCCTCCCTGTGAACATAAACAGCCTTTTCCATCAGCTTTCCAAACCTAGCTGGACAGGCCTCAATCAAGAACCAGGAGCTGGATACACTTCAGAATGGAGACCGCCTTTCCCTGTATGATCCCAAACCTCCTCCGCATAAAAAAATGCACCATTGGAGTAACTTACAAATAAAGATTGTTAAAAGAAGGTAATTGAAGGAAGGCTGTTCAGATGGTAGCTGGGTGCTTTTACATTACCTGTGGTTTTGAAAATCTTCCTCCAAATCTTTTTATGTAGACGCCATCTTGCTAAAACAATTGTGGATATGCTAACTTGTAAATGGGGGAAACATCACCATCACTCTATTTCTAATATAGTTGTATTTACTTTTCCCCCCCGAACATACTTCTGGCTTCTGCAGAAATGGCCTAACGGTGACAAGTGAAGCATAAGGATTGATTTTAACCTACAGCCCAGTTTGGGGAGGAGGTGAGCAGCCCTCAGTGCTGAAAGAACAGGTTAGAGACTACTTAGAAAACCCGGACATGTACAAGTCCACGAGGCCGGATGGAATGCACCCGAGGGTGCTAAGGGAGTTGGCTGATGTGATTACAGAAATATTGGCCATCATCTTTGAAAACTCAGGGGGATCAGGAGAGGTCCTGGATGACTGGAAAAGGGAAAACATAGTGGCCATATTTAAGAAAGGGAAGAAAGGATCCAGGAAGCTACAGACCAGTCAGCCTCACCTCAGTCCCTGGAAAAACCTTGGAGCAGATGCTCAAGGAATCCATTTATAATAACTTGGAGGAGGAGGTGGTGATGGATTCACCAGGGGTGAGTCATGCCTGATCAACCTGGTTGCCTTCCATGCTGAGATGACTGGCTCTTTGGCTATAGGAAGACCAGTGGGTATGGTGTATAACTTGATTTTAGCAAGGCTTTTGATATGGTCTCCCACAACATGCTCACAAGCAAGCTAAGAAATTATGGACTGGATGAATGGACTGTAAGGTGAACAGAAAACTGGCTGGAGCATCAGGCTGAGAGAGTAGCAATCAATGGCTCAATATCTAGTTGGTACTCCTCAAGGGGAGTGCCCCAGGGGTTGATTTTGGGGTTGGTTTTGTTCAACGTCTTCATCAACAACCTGGAAGATGGCATAAAGCGCACCCTCAGCAAGTCTGCAGATGACAACAAGCTGGGGGGAGTAGTAGATATGCTGGAGGGTAGGGCTAGGATTTAGAGTGATTTAGACAAATTGGAAGATAGGGCCAAAAGGAATCTCATGAGGTTCAGCAAGGACAAGTGCAAAGTCCTGCACTTAGGACAGAACAATCCCATGCACCAGTACAGGCTGGGGGCTGACAGCAGCTCTGCAGAAAAGTCCTTGGGGGTTACAGGGGACAATAAGCTAAATATGAGTCAGCAGTGTGCTCTTGTTGCCAAGAAAACTAACGGCATACTGGGCTGCATTGGTAGATGTGTTGCGAGTAGGTCAAGGGAAGTGATTATTCCCCTTTGTTCAGCACTGGTGAGGCCACATCTGGAGTACTGTGTTCAGTTTTGGGCCTCCCACTACAGAAAGTATGTGGACAAATTGGAAAGAGTCTAGTGTAGGGCAACAAAAAAGGTTTGGTGGCTGGGGGCCATAATTTATGAGGAAAGACTGAGGGAACTGGGCTTATTTAATTTAGAGAAGAGAAGACTAAGGGGAGATTTAATAGCAACCTTCAACTACCTGAAGGAGCGTCTGAAAGAGGATGGAGCTAGGCTATTCTCAGTGGTAGTAGATGACAGAAAAAGGAGCAACGGTCTCAAGTTGCAGCAAGGGAAGGTTAGGTTAGACATTAGAAAGAATTTTCTCACTAGGAGGGTAATAAAACACTAGAAAAGGTTACCCAGAGAGGTGGTGGAAGCTCCATCTTTGGGGGTTTTCAAAATGTGGCTAGACAAAGCTTTAGCTGGGATGAGATAGTTGGGGATGGTCCTGCTCTGAGCAGGGGGGTGGACTAGATGACCTCCTGAGGTCTCTTCCATCCCTAGCCTCTATGATACTGTTAGGAGCTGTATACAATGGTTAGCTTTCTCCCAGTCACAACTAATATTAACAGAGGTATTCAGGTGACAGTCCCTCCTTGGCTTAAACCAGAACTAAATCAGAAAGTTTTTAGCATGTAAATAATAGATTTTAAAAATATATATATAGAGCAAAAAAATTGAAAAAAAAAATTTCTTTTTACTTTCTATTTTTCAGTTTAAAAAGCTATTATTTCTTTTTTATGAAAATAAATCATTTTCTTCCAAACCACTCACAGGAAATAATGTATACCTCTCAATCAACTCTATTTCAGATACTAAGGGTACTTTTACACGTGCTCCCACACACTCTGATTAGAACGTGGTGGAAGACACTTGATTAAATCAAGGCTGCTGAAGCATTCTAATGAGAATGGTTCAGCATGCTGCAGTATCTTCTGTGTTCAGTGTCTGTATATTTCAAAGCGGTGGCAGGGGCGCTTTAAGTAAAATTTGTCAAACAAGCTTTAGTTAAAGTGCCCACACCACCATTTTGAAATATGGGACAGTGAATACACGAGATGCTGCTGGTGTTTTAATTAGAGCAGCTCCTGAGAACTGCTTTAATTAACATTCAGGCACCCCCCCCCTCCAAGCACATGTGCAGACTCAGTAAAAGTACGAGGATAGGGGATTTTCCCTTGAAGTGCAGTGATCTGGAATATATTTCCAGCCTGCATCCAGCACAGCTCAGATTTGATAATCTTTTCCATGTGACCATCTGTTTCTTAGGAGTCTGAAGGAGATAAATGTTGAGAGTTAGCTCAACCAGAATGACTCTAATAGGCAAATAAGCAGGCCTGTCTTTCACAAGCAGGTTCCTCCAATGTCTCTGCTTTGAATTGAATTGAACTGTATTGTGTGTCTGCTTTGAAATATGGTGAAAGCAGCTTGAGATATAAAAGGGGGCACTGAATTGAGAAACAATAAATAAATTATGATAGTTGCTTTTTATCACACAAGCCATATAACTCCAAGCATTTCAGAAAATCTTCTACAAAACTGCATAAAAAAATATTGATCTAGATTTTACTTAATACACATATATCCAATCTAATAATATATGGTCTCTGAATACTGTTGTACTCAGAGGATAAAACTGGATCCTCAGGGACCACAATCAACTCTCCAATTTTAATCTATGGAAACCCTATGAATTCAGTTCAGTGGGAGCAGAATGAGTGCCTTTATTTTCTTTTTATTCTTGCATGAACCAGACTTGTACTTAGAGAAACACGTACAGAGTTCTAACCAGTTTTTACTGGTGTGGCTGACAGCAGAATCTAGTATCACTTTTAGTGGTCCCAAGCTATACTCTTGACCCCTTATCCCCTACCTTACAAAATGTGTTAGCAATTAACCTTACCTCAGTTGACAGTCTTTTCATTTCTTGTTTGCGCTGCTGCTCTGCAACATTTGCCACAGACTCAGCCAATTGATTCAGTTCTTGTTCCCTGGGAGCTCCCATAAAGCTCAGCAAAGGAGGCTCCCAACCATTTCTGAAGCGTGGAATATAAGGTGGAATAAAATGGTCTTTGGGCCAGTCCACTCTGTAAAAAAAAGGCAGTCATGTATCAAGAACCAGAGAGTTACAGAAAACAGTATTTACTGAGGATTGTTGTGCTTCTTTCTGGAATATAAAGAAGTTGCTCCTGCCCCAGTCAGCTCAGAGAGAGAGATATTTCTCATGCAGTGCAGAAGATGGGTGACAAAGAAGCCTGAGTTATCATTATTCAGGGGTGAATAATGATAAGTATTTACCCCAGAACACCTAGAAGTCCTGCCCTCTCTCTGCTGGGTTAGCATGGACAGGCTTCAGAGCAGCAGCAAGCTGTAAAGTGTGGTTTAAAAAGTAGACATGGAAGCTGGAAACACTATTTATCTAGGGGCTTTGTTACACAGTAATTTTGGGCAGCTCCTAGAGCTCTTGAGCCCTGAACTGTCTGCATATTAATGCCTTACAGTGGTTTTAAGCACTTGTTATGTGGCTTAAAGTTACACCACTGTAGGGCAGGATTATCTCAGAGCCACGCTACCCAGCTCTTGTTTCATTAGGGCATGGCCACTCACCACAGATATGCTGCCCAAGCTGAAGTCCTTTAGTATCCTAGGATCTTTCACATACCCATCCATAGAACAAGCCTGTCCTTGCTCATAGCCCTGTAGTGGCAACTCACAGCTACACATACAGCTCCTAGTCCTGTCCCTGCTCACCAGACCTCTAGTGGCAAGTCACAGCTGTGCAGATGGGGGACAGAGAGGGTTTCTAGACTACGGGTGCAACTGCTCCAAACTCCAGGCTAGAACTAACAACATCTGCACAGCTTACAACGTAAGGTGTAACAAGGGCCTAAAGCTATGAAGGTGAAAGCTAGACCAGAGGATGAATTGCTTTTGTCACACAAAAGAACAAAAAGCCTCACAGGAGTCAATGTAATCACTAAATTTGCTGAACTGAATTTTCTAACACAGACTGCATTTCTGAAAGTACTGTGTTATTCCTTAGAGATCCATTGGTATTCATCATCTGAACTCACTGTATCTGAAGAAGTATTTCATGGTCTGCTGGGCCTATATACTGTACATAAAACATTGCCCTGCAGCATGAATTATTGCCTCCTCAAAGGACAAATAGACCTCAGAATACACTTTATAGTTTCTTTTAACATTACTTATTGTGGGCATTGTTAAAAACAAATCAAGGTGACAAATGCTATCAAACCAGTGTAGAAGCAGCCAGCATTTACTCAGGCACCAACATGTTGATGTTAAGTTATAACCAAGCTCAGCAATCCCTAGGTTATTAATGATCTTCATGTTGTTTCGTGACAAAATATAGCTAAGTTGCACAGCCCAGAACCATTTCACCAGCAGGAAAACAAGAGAACATGTAGCTAGTCACACCATTACTTTAAGGGTTCAAACCTTCCAAATGACTGATGCATACTACTTTTTGGAATAAACCATTATTTTTTCAGAGAGGATTGGATGGGTCAGGGGAATCAACACAGAATAAAAATCCCTCTTATTTTTAGTTCATGCCTTCAATTCCAACACAGGGTTCTAACACTGCAAAAGGGTACCCCCCATACGAGTCCACAAAAACAGATGCCTCTGCTGGATCACAAGATTATCAATTATCAGTCTCAGTAAAAGAGCCAAAAGAAGGATGGGCCTGTAGATTTTTGACCCTAATGAGGGTTGAGTTCAGGAATGAGAGGGAGTACAAGGATCTTTGAAGTGACAAAAGCCTATGGCTGTTCAGCATTTCCTCTGTGCACTTCATATTTAAACAATACATTCAAGTATGTTTTTTTTTATTTAAAAGCACATCATAGGTTGAGGCTAAGTTTATGATTTGATGCGAGTGGGTGGATGAATACGTTCAAAATGTATGACACCTCCGAACCAAATCCTAATATATTTCACGGATAAAAAAAAAACTCAATAAGGAGAGGCAATAGGGGAAGGCTTATCAGCGTTCTCAGGGAGAAAACAGGACAATCAGTTTCATGCCTGAAATGTTCATATACTAAAAAGGGGGATTGAATAGCAGCCTTTAACCATCTGAAGGTTGTTACAAAGAGGATGGAGCTAGACTGTTCTCAGTAGTGGCAGATGACAGAACAAGGAGCAATGGTCTCCAGGAGCAGCAAAGGAGGTTTGAGTTGGATATTAGGAAAAAACCTCTCACCAGGAGGGTGGTGAAGCACTGGAATGTGTTACCTAGAGAGGTGGTGGAATCTTTGGAGGTTTTTAGGCATGACTAGACGAAGACCCATCTGGAATAATCTAGTTGAGGATGGTCCTGCTTTGAGCAGGGGGTGGACTAAATTGACCTCCTGAGGTCCCTTCCCACCCTCATTTTCTGTGATTTTATTATTCTAATAAGAGACATGGGAAACAAACAGAAAAAAATGGAGGTCCTAGTATAATAGAGGAATTATGTAATTGGGATTATGGAGATGTAGTAGGATAGTTCACATGATTGAAGTACTGTCATGAATAGTAATAACTGGTTTAGGAAGGACAGGCAGGGGGGAAAAGAGGTGGTATTGCCCTATATATAAAGGAAATACATATGTATTCTAGGCTACAGTACAAAGTGATGGGGGTAGACCTGTTGAAAGTGTCTGGGTAAAGGTCAGGGGGAGAGCAGCAGGGGGATGTCACAGTGGGCATCACCTAGAGGAGAACAAGGTGATAAGGAACAGACAGCATGGATTTACCAAGAGCAAGACATGCCTAACTAACCTGATCAACCCGATTTCCTTCTACAATAAGGTTTCAGGCTCTCTGAATGGGTGTGTGCATGCGGGGAGGAGGGAGGTGTGTGGGTGGGAGGCAGTAGGTGCAATATCCCTTGACTTTAAAGAAATGCAGGTTAGATTAATACAGTAGGGTGAATACAAAAAATTACTGGATCATTGTGCTCAACAAGACATCAATAGTTCAATGTCTAGTTGGCAGGAGTTATCAATTGGTTCCCTAGGGGTCTGTCCTCGGTCCAATATTTAACATCTTCATTAGTGATTTAGACAATTAGACTGAGTGCATACCTATCAAATTTGCAGATGACATCAAATTTGTTGGAGTTGCAGACACTCTTGAAGGTAGGGCTAGGATCCAGAATTACAGGGATAAACTGGAAGAATGGGCCAAAAAAATCAATCAGATGAAATTCAACAGGGCAAATGCAAAGTCCTGCACTTGGCACAGAATAACTGCATGCACAAACGCAGACTGGAGAATGACTGGCTAGGTTATAATACAGTAGACAAGGACCTGGAGGTTACCATGGGTCATAAGCTGAATATGAGCCAACAGTGTCTTCTTGTTTCCAAAAAGCAAACAGCAAGATGGGTTGTATTAACAGAAGTATCACAGGCAAATAAGGGGAAGTGATTCTTCCACTCTATTCAGCACCTGGAGTATTGTGTCCAGTTTTGGGCCCCACACTTCAAGAAGGATATGGACAGATTGGAAAGAGTCCAGCAGAGAATGAGGAAAATGAATAGAAGCTGAGGAAGCATGACTTATTTGGAAAGGCTGAAATAGATAGGGTTGTTTGGAGATTAGGAAGAACTTTCTGACCATGAGGGTGGCCAAGCATTGGAACAGGCTACCTAGAGAAGTTACAGAATCTCCATCCCTGGAAATTTTCAAGAGCAGCGTGGACAGACACTTGGCTAGGATGATTTAGTCACAGATGTTCCTGCCACTGCAGATTATCATCATCTGAAGTAACCCAACTCCAAGAACCATGTGGTTTAGAAACACTGTATTGATTTTAATTTTTTTCAAATGTCCTGTTATTACGCTTCAAGCCTATAAGAATCCCAGAGAGAGAGAGAGAGAGAGAGAGAGAGAGAGTGTGCGCACGTGCGTGCACAGCCAAAACATAATGTATGAAGAGGGAAAATATTTGCTATGTTCTAACTGCAGGCACTGATGAATCCATTACATTAAAGTGTGGATTCCCTTATGCATATACACTTAACATCATTCAGTTGTTAAATTAACACCATTGCTTAAATAAAAATCTTTTCCTTAAAAGACGTTTTGGAGACATCAATAATTGTTGTAAGCCTGCTGCTTTAAATAATTTTGGAAGTTCAAAGTACAAATCTGTTTGTAATTCTCTTTATAATAATGTTGTCATTATTTAGTTACTAAATAATGCACTTCCCTTAAAATAGACTGTTAATTGAGTCCAGCTGGTTGATGACCAAATGACAATGGAAATGGAGGGGGAGATTGGAAAGGGAATGGAAAGGGCCATTTAGAAAGATGGTGGGTGAAAGATTATGCAGTTAAGTTTGCCCTTTTGATATCACAGGCAAAATAAAAAGCCACACTTGGAACTGTTTTCATTTCTAAACACCACCTCCCAACTCCTCAAAGGTTGGCCTGACGTCCACTGAAATCAAAGAAAGCCTTCACACTGACTTGTGAAGAAGGTAGATCAGGCTCAAAGAAAGCCAAAATTCACATTACTTACACAGAGTTTACTTTAGCATGAACAATCTGGTGAGTGCAGAGATATTTCTAGTGACCTGATATTACATTGTCAAAAATCATCTCTAAAATATGCAAAGAGATTTTCTTACCTGGCTTTGGTCCATGCATCACCCAATGACATCCACAATTGCCCTTCCTCACTATTCACAGTAAAACGCAAAAAATCTATGGTATCCTTTGTTAGGAGGGGGCTGAGTACTGTACCAGCAAGTTCTGGACCTCCAGTTGCTTGTACCACCTACATGAAGACAATTTTAAAGTACTATTTATTCAATTTAAAAATCAATGGATTTAAATATTCGTGCTCAACAGATGTTAAGTGAAACTTAAAGAAAGGTTGAGACTACAGGGATTTTGTATAGAAGTGTTAGAGAGTAGAACTGGAGCAGACGGCTTTTTAAAAGAACATGCCTTTACCTTAAAAAGTAAAAAAAAACAAAACAAAAACCCCAAACCCTAAAAAAAAGTATACTTTTCTTCTAGAAGGCCACACGTTAAAAATACCAGTGAGAAGCTCATGTTATTGCATTTGATAGAATCCTAATGAAGCTGGTGTCCTGAGTATCAGCTGTAACCTGTTGCTGCTGGCAACCTTATCGTTGCCCTCATCATGTGAACACACTTTTGCCTATAATTCTTCAAATGCCATTTGTTTAGTTTCCCCCCGCCATTTTAGATGTGGCATGGGATGGTTTCTTTATATTTCTGTGATCAAATTGCATTTAACTAATAAAAATACTGTCTAGATCTCCTTATGGTGGATATGCATTTAAATCTCTTTCCACAGTGTTTAAATAGAAGGCAATAGCTTTGTACTCATTTCCCTTATTAAGAAAAAAATGTAAGTATAGGCAAAATTTGAATTTGTATATACGTTTTAAAACTAGGGTTAATCTTAAAAAAAAATCTTGCTATAAAAGACTAGTATATTGATAATTCGGGGTGAATTTTCTAAATAAAGACTTGCTAGTAGGGGTGTGCGAAATGGGCCGTATTTGATTAGGATTAGGCATGAATTGGGGATAGTGATTCAATTCGTTTATTTGGATCACCATCCCGATTCAATTTAGTTGAATCCGAATCTGAAGATTCAATGCCAATTTGGAGAATCAGTGATTTGGCCATAGACACAGATTTAAATGTTTTTTGTACATACCTCGAGGTGCCAGGCACGGCTCGTGAACACTGCGATGCTGGGGCGGACGGAGCATCCCACAGGAGCACAGGCTGGGGGGGGTCCCATGCACGCTCAGCAAACCAGAAGTACTTCCAGGTTTGCGGGGGACTGTGCTGGGGGGCACCCCTCACTCCCCCAGCTCAGCAATCGACCACAGGGGGACCCCTGGTGCCCCCAGCCCGAGGAGGTACCAGTTGGTGAGCTGGGGGCACACAAGGGGTGAAGGGCAGCACATCCCCTGGTGGACCCAGAAGTGGACCAGAAGTGCTTCTGGTCAACTTCTGGGTCTGCTGCCAAGTGCACTGGGGACCCTCCACACTCCTGTCAGACTCTCCATCTGCCCCAGCATCTCAGCATTCACGAGCCACCTGCTACTTAGAGGTATTTAGAAAAAACATTTAAAGCTGTGTCTATGTCTGAATAGTCTAATCTTTCCAAATCAATTCGGAGGGTTCCAATTTGATTTGGAGATATTAAAGGGTCTCCTGATTCAATTCGGATTTGGAAATTTGGCCACCGATTGGGGCCGAATCTCTGCTGAATCAAATCAGTGACCGAAGCTTCGTGCAGCCCTACTTGCTGGGTCTTTGAATGATGGAAGCTTTGAAGAAGGGTGGGGAGAGATCAGCTTGGATAGGCCCTGCGTAAACATGCTCCCTCTGGGCTGCCTGTCTCTGATACTAAAAGATACTGGATACTGAGTTACATGGGCCTATGGCCTGGCCCAATATGGCATTCCTTATGTTCTTAACATGCTTATTTTCTAAATAGGTCCTGATCCAAAAAATGAACTACACTAGTAATTTTTCCTTACCCTCTCCCCACTAACCCATTTTTAATCTCATTACATTTTTAAATGTTCCAGAGCACTTAAATGAAGCAAGCCTGATGGACACATTCAAAAAAATCATAAAACCTTACCATATTTAATGGTGTAAACAGAAAATGAACCAATTCAGGTGCACTAGGGTTCTGGATGTGGGATTTCAATTTGGCCTGAGGGAGGAAAAAGAAAACAAATTGATAACTTTAATGACAGTTAAGTAGTGCTTAGCAAAATCACCCTTCAAAGGGAAGATATTTTAGTTATGGAATTAAAATGCATGTCATATTTTGCATTTTATTGTGTTTATTATACGTATGGGGTGATAAAAACTGGGACATGCCTCTCTCCCAGTTACCCCTTGGAAAGGAGATGTCGCATAAACAACCCATAAAATGTTGAACTAACTACCACAGTACACCCTCCAATGAGGAGGTGAGGCTTGTGTAAATGCTTGTAATGTGCTTGAGGAAAGGCTCTTAAATGCAGGAGGCAGGAGAAGAAAGGGTTAAGAAATCTTAAACGTGGAGCATCACACTGTTCAACCATGTGCTCTCAGGTGCAAGAGCATCAAGATGGAGAAGACCTGATTTTCGCCACAAGAGTGTCTATGATTTAAGAGTTTAAGATCAGACACTATTGTAAACATCCAGTCTGATCTGCAAAACAGGCTATGGCACTTGCCTGAATTAACTGCAATTTCAAGTACATAAAGAACATGATGTAGGGCAACTTTCCCTAAATTCCCAACCTGTACAAATATCTTGTAGAGTACATCACACCCTCCACCACCAGAACACACACACCTCCACACAGACACCAGCAGCCAGTATGTGACTTCGTACCACAAGGTGCCAATGACTGGTGATGCACAGGGGAAGAGCAATCCATGGGCTAGAGTATTTTGAGGCTAATACGTTTTGTGTGCATTTTCATGGCATACTTGACAAGTATTATTCAGCGTACTTTGCAATGGCAATGAGTACAGAATCTGACAGGCACAAATGAAATACTAAATAGAGAGTATTAATAGTGAGACTGGCACATGTGCAAGAGCTGAGCTTTTCCCTAACAAACCTCTCAGGAAATCATTTTACAATTAAAATTCTACTTTTGCTAGTAAAACTCTTGAAACATCCTTTTTATGTATTCTTCTTTTGAAATTAAAAAATCCACACACACAAGCCATCAGTCAGGAGACAGCCCAGTCAAATCTTTGCTGCTCCAGGATCTATAGATTGGCATTGCAATTTTGGACACAGATGAAAGGAGCCAAATGCCACCTGGGCCATTCTTGGCTCCTCTGTAGATAGGGACTTTGGAGCCCAGATCACACAAGGAACAGCTCAGCTACTTTCAGTTCTGTTTAAGTCAACTTGACTGGATTGGAACATGAAGTAGGAACAACATGGATTTATCACAGAGGCACGTATCCTGCCCTTCGAACCATGAGATTGAGTACCAACCACTTGTTCCTGCTCTGTGTACAAATGGTTCAAGAAATGCAATCTGGCCCAGGTGAACTCAGCATCGCTTTCAGTCTTCAGCATACTTGTTGGTGCATGACCAATGCCATTTTAACAGAGGCTACAATACATTTTTTTAAATCATTTTTCACAGATGGAGTGAGAACAAGAGGGGGCAAGGTAATTTTTCATGCCCCTGACCATGCCGACATACCCCAGAAAACTAATGCTCTAGCAAAGATGCTACACCAGGCTTGCTACCCATCTGTTTCTTGTTTCATATTAACACGCCCCCCCCACAACAACAAAAACATTCTAGCAACTAGGGATGGGTGGTGGTTTGTGGTGCTAGGGGCAAAACTGACATGACCAGGTGCCCTCAGTCAAATTTGAGGCAGCTGAGAAAGAAAAACAACACACTGTCTGACTTCAGAGAAGCTAGGAAATGCTGCTCCTGCCTACCCTGTGGAGCGGTAGCTGGTAGCAAGTACTTACAAGAAGGTTAAAGCCATGCTTGAATTTCTGAAAACAATCAACAAATTCATCTGGAGGTGGCGGTTTTGCACGGAGAGTGAGAACCCCCTCTAGTGAACAAAATGAAAAATGCATCTGTTAGAGTAATCCAGCACACTTACAGTTATTGCTATGGGTTCTAGTCTGAAGCCTTTACTCGCATCAGTATTCCACATTGACTTGAAGAATGGGACTTCAATGGGATTTGCTTACATGAGTAAGGACTGCAAGACTAGAACAATTTTTTGTTCTCACTATATATCCAGACCTAAAGGAAAATAAAATCATTTGTTTAATTAAATTGAAATTGCAACCATAAAAAAAACTCCTCCCCCCACACACACATTTCCTAGGTACATACATGGTTTTGGCGGGGAGGGGGGGGTGGAATCATAATCATAATAAATCCTAGGGGCATGGAAGGGGGAGTAGCTCTTACCTCCAGGTCCTTTCTTTTTATTTTTTTTGGTTTTCTTTCTCTTTGAAAGCTCAGAAAATGCCTCAGCAGATTTTTGAAGTTTAGTAACAAAATATTCAATGTCATCCAAAATATGGTTCAGAATTTGCTATAGAAAAGTAAGAAAACAATCACTCTCCCTATCTTAAATAGCAGTTGGTCATTAAAACAAAAAACAAAAAAACAAAAACAAAACAAAACAAACAAACAAACAAAAAATCTGTAAATTTGTAGTTTCCTACATTCACCATCAGTTGCAGAAAGTTCTGTATGTTTAGGTTCATTTTAAGTCTGACATTTATAAAACTGACATTTGTTTATTTCTAAAGTTTAAATATCCATTTGAAAAAGTCACGATCATTAAAAGCTCTTCTAGGCAAGTATTGCATTTTGGCATCCATTAGCTCTAATTCACATAATGTATTTTCCCACAGAGTACATGAAAAAAATGTTGTTAAAGCATAACTTTTTCTATGCTACTCATAGAGAAGTAAGGCTGGAAGGGAGTTCAAAGAGACCATCTAGTCCAACCAGGGATCTACAGTTGAGCCATTTTCTTACATGGCATACTTTAATATTTACTTTGATGCAATACAGTAAAACTGCTATTTTACTAAATACCTTACTTCATTTTGCTATATATGGAAGATTCCTTAACCAACTTAAATACCATATGTACTTGACTATAAAATGATGTTGAATATATGAAAATCCCCCAGCAATTAGATTCTCTATAAGGAAGATAAATACATGTGTTACAATTTTTCAAGTGTAGAATCTACTTATCGGAGGGCTGTCTTGAATTGGTCCCCCTCTGACTGCTACAGCAGGGAAAATTGGGGGTGGGGGTCAGGTGGCTTGCCCTCTGCTCCCCCCTACAACATCTTCCCCCTGCAGTCTTCCTGCCCCATGTAACTATTTAGCCCCACATAGGCTGTTCCCTCTCTGAGCACAACATGGTAGTGAGCTGCACATGACAGTAAGAGGGGAGAAAGGGACCGAGGGGAGGGCAGCAGTTCCCTCCTTTCCCCCAATCCACCACTTCCCTACCGTTGAAAACTGCTGCAGTTTTTAGTATAGGTAACTCCATAAACAAGCTTTTGAGTAGCATTCTTATACCTACTTATACATAATACAAACCATGCATGACATTAGTCCAAAGCCAAAAGTCTCATGACTTACGTACAGTTCATTGGGCTGGACCCCAGCAGAGCCCATAGTATTTCATACCACGGTGATCCCATATCTCAACACTACTCTGTATGTGTGTGTATTCAACCAAGGATCCATGTGCTAATTAGCCCCTCCACTCATGACAGGAACCAGGTGTTCTTGTCACAAGTCCTGAGACCCTCCAAAAATTTATATGCAGATGAGGTCCAGGGCTGCCTGGTCCATTTCCACCTCAAGATGGAAGGGCCATATTAATCATATGCAACAGGCTGAGAGACAGGAGCTTGGTGATGTTTGCTAGACATTCCTGGTGGGGAAACAGGAATAATTGGAAATGGGAAAGAAAGGCACTGCTGAGCTGTGGGAGTGAAGAGGAAGTTGAAATGTATTTGATATAGTGGTTCACCATGATTTGAAAAAGAGTCGATGCTCAGGGAGGCTCGGCACAATGAGCACTGCATCTTATTCAGATAGACTGCACAGACCTGCCCTTGTAAAGGATACCCCAAAATTACTTGGCAGGGGAAATACTATGACCATGATGGTGGTAGGGGAAGGTAATGCAATTCAAATGGCACTGTGTAGTGCAGGGTGCACCCTTGTCTGCTTCCAGACAGGACTCCCTACAAGAGCCTCATGCTTAGCTTCTCACTGGCCAGTTTCCAGCGGGAGGATCTCAGCTACATGCCAGCTTTATGGAAATGGGAGATTCCTCCCCAGCTTGCTCCTGTGGCCATACTGCTAAGGGCAAGCAAAACTCAGGGGCACCCAAATCCCAAGTCTCCAGGCTCGAGCCTGAATGTAGGATGCTTTCCAAATGATTTGGAAATATCTGAAGCCCCAGGCTAGGGTGGAGGATATTTGCCAGTAGCAGGGCCACATATGGTTTCCAAATGAGTCAAATGGATTTGGACCTGATCTGGCTAATTTGACCTGGGACATAAACATTTTTCCCTAAAAAGGTGCCCCATCAACATCTCAGCATTTTTGGGTATGATCAAATGTAGCACTTTTGTCACCAAGGGAAGGGTGTCAGGGCTGGCTCTGGCTCTCCTGGTGCCAGCCTGGTATTGCCAGTACCTCCAGGCCCAGCACTATTTCCCTGTGAAAGGAACACTTGCCTGCTTTTTTCTAAGGACCAAAAAGGTTCCTATCAGTGTATTTACCTAATATAGGACAGGTATAATATGGTCATGCTCAGCATGGGCTACACTCAATCAAGTTCCTAGCTGGTTTCTATGACTGAGCACATGCTCCTTCTAGCAGCAGTTTAATAACAGGGAACATATTTAATGAGGGGGTTTGCTGGTATGCAAATATAAGATGAGGGGCTTTTCCCTCCCATGCTGATTAGGGAAAAAACCTTTTCTTTTTTCAAGTCAATATGGTAACTCTTATGCATAAAGGGAAGAATAGACTAAGTAGAGCACAGGTATGTGCGACAATTCAAGAACGTACTTAAGTACATGCTTAGGTCCAGCTCAATTCTGCTGCATTTTAAACAGATTTAAGCCCCATAAAGTTTAAGGGGATGTAAGTACACTCTTCAGCACCTTCCTGAAACAAAGCTTAAGTGTATTTGTTTCTCATATCTAAGTTTCTAGCTTTCCAGAACTGAATCTGATTTTAGTCCTCATCTCAGTTCTCATTTCAGCTCCTTGAAAATCTATTGTAGATACAATCTGGCATGGCTGGAAATTTTTCCTTCTGAAATGAAGTTTGTTTGTGGAAAAAAGTCTCTTTCTGCTCATGAAGCAACAATTTAGAACAGTGTTTCTTAACCTGTGGGTTGTGACCCAAAAGTGGGTCGCAAGACTATATGAAAGGGTCATGAACAAACTTTAAATATGGATCAACAAACTTTAAAAATGTATTCTTCTTTAAAGTAGAAAAATGTGGGAAACCATGGCTTTTCCCTTGCAGACTGGCAAAGTTCCAGCCTGCAAGGTGCTGCTTCGGACCCCCCATACCCCGAACACATCCTCCCTGCCCCACACACTGCGGGGGATGAGACCCGGGGGGCAGGAAGCAGCGTATTGGAAGTGAGGGGCACTGGGTCAGGACTGGCCATTGATGTTTACAAATGGGTCCTGGTACAAAAAATATTGAGAACCACTGAACTAGGAGACTGATCGATACTGCATGTATTTTCTCACTTACAACATCTCTGTCAATCCTGGCTGCCATCATCTCAGCTGTTTCTTCATGTTCAGGGAACTGTCTGGGTTTTTCATCTATGAAGAAAGAGAAAGAGAAAGAGAAAAACACACACAATGCAGAGTACATCAGGAACTAAAGTTTGCTCTCTCCTAACCCTACACAGAAATCATAGTGCTAGAAGTAGAGGGAAGGCTAACATTATTCATGCCTCATTTGCCAGTGTTCAAAGGTGGGACACAACGTACAACTGTCCAGATGAGGCCAAAAAAGAAGTATGTTTCTATTGTTTTAGGTGCTGTACAAATATGAAACAAAGAAAGATTACAGGCCCTGAGGCAGGAAATAAGTGATATCCTTTTGCCCCTCCCATAGGAGAATCAGAATGCAAAAACAGCTTTCCTGTCCAGCAGCCAAGTATCTTTCTATTTCTCTGCAGATCTCCACCCCCATCTCTATTGCAAATGTCAGACTTTACATTTATACCCTTTTAACAGCTTATCAATACCTGCCATCCTTCATTCTTCATCAAGATGACTGCTCCTGCCCTTGAACAACCCATGATACCAAACGCCAATATGCCTTGTTAGATTTTCAAGAATGTTGTTTTCCTATCTGGCTCCTCCACTCACTTGGGAGGTACGCTCTGTCTCATCACCACACAAATCTCCCTCTTTATCAGGCTTAAAATTGCTCCTCTTAAAGCTCTCTTTTGCTACAAAGAAAACCTGGACAACAGCAAAGCTGCTGGTGGTCTGAGACCACTGCCTGTTATATTGATCAACAGTGTTTCTTTGTTTACAGGTGATCCTCCATCTGTCTATAACCATGTGTTGTTCCCTGATGAGCATAAGCTTTCCGGGGCAGGGACCATCTTTTTGTATCAATGCCTGATACAATATGGTTCTGGCGAATGCTGATGGTAATACAAACAACGATAAAAATAAAGTGCAAAATAGTCTGTGGCCTGAAGAACTTTAAGTTTTCATGCCTTGATCGTGCCCTTGCTCGTACATTAGACTTACACTTGTGTGTAGTCCTCACAGAAGTCAATAAACTATTCATATGAATTAAGGTAAGCATGTTCATACATTTGCAACAATCAAGGCCTAAATCAGGTAATGGAAGACAGCAGAGAAGGGTGTACAATTAAATAAGTATAAGTGGATGAAGTACTGATTTCTCCCATTTGTAGTCATCATCAGTATCCCCATAGTGTTTCTAGGTGAAACATGTTTTGAGGAAGGAAGAGGAAAAGTTTTGGGTTAAAAGATGAATTCAAAGCAGACATTCTATATAAAAGGAGAAATATGAAAAAGACATAGCAAGTAAAGCTGGCAAATAAGTAAAAGAGTGTGACACTGTTCACAAAAAGGAGAGGAAGTAATAGGATGTGACAAGATTGCACAAGGAGAGAAGGGCAGATACAGCCAGCAATTTTTGGAAAACAGCTAATCTTAATGCTCTGTGGAATCACTGTAAGCTCTATATTAAAGTTACATTTAGACACCGACGCATTTTTCTCCTCTTAACAGTGGGAGCTTCCATCAATACATTTTTGACAGTATCCATGTAAATAGAAAAGGACTCCGTAACTGACTGGGGCTCAATTCAGTAACAGCCCACTTTACCAACAAAACCTTTGATTTGTCCTTATGTTTGACTCTGTTTAGTCTTCACTTGAGATACTTTTACTGCTGCATGATGGTATGAAAGTGTTCTACCATTGTTGTTTTCTGGGGGCATTTAAGCTGTTTCACTCTGCACAATCATGCACTTTCATAAATAGTACTTCAGTCTGATAAATGGCAAGTGTAACCCAAAAAAGCTTAGAAACAATAGCTTTTTATTTTTAATTTTAATGAGAACCCATTACAGTAAAAAAAGACTCAATTTAGCTAAAATTATTTTTTTAATGTATTGCCTTCTACTGAAAGTTGGAAGTAACACATCTAATTAGCAATCCTTTCAAATTTTTGTCTTACAGAAATCAGATTTCCAATTCCAGATAAAAATCAGAAGCCCTAAGCAGAGGATACAAAAACCATTTTTTCCATAGTACTATGTCTATGCTTTCTTCCAGACTTACAAAAATGACCAATTAATTTAGCCCTATAGTTTATTCCAAAACTAGTAGGCGCAGAGTCCAAAGCCCTACTCAGCTGAGAAATAAAAAAGTGACAGGTCCCTGCCATCAGAATTTTACCCTGGAACGGTCTGCTTTTACTCATCTCCTGTTACTAAGCACAGTATCATCGAACAAGTCATGCTTGCTATTAAGTACATTAGTAAGACTCTGTAGGAACCAGAGTCAGTTAATTTTAATAAACAACGGGGACATATCAATACTAACAGAAGAGAGCCATGAAAAGAAAAAAAAAAAAAATCAAGCTGCACATGCATGACACACTTTGAAAACTGGTGGTAATTGACACTAAAAATCAAGCTGTAACCAACATAAGTTTCCTAGTAGGGTATGATGAAGGAAATGACAGCTCATTTTTAAAAGAACATGAGGAAATCTAAG